AATAAAACCAAAAAATGTTTTTGCTGCCACAGAAGAATTAGCTGCATCTACCAACAGCAGATTCTAGCTATGACAACCGCAAAGTGTAAAAAATTCCCTGGGATTAATATTTAATATTCGAGTTTTAACTCCACTATTTACGGGATACTTTACTGTGATACTTTGATTGGCTTTTTAAATGTTGAGAATCATGAAAGTAACATAAACAAACACAATGGGAAATCCCCAGCTCTGGTTGGCAAGGATTCCCCACGATAGCAACCCAACGCCAGCAAATGTTGCTAGACAAATCAAAACAAATTTGGTATGTCAATATATTTATCGTTTTATGACGAGTAAAATTTTTTCGTTGAGTTTACAGCTTTTATGTAATGCATAAACCTTCAAAGCACGAGGCCCCTCAGACAGCAAGGCCGTAGGCGGTGGCCCACATCGCCCACACCTTACGTAAACCACTTCTGAGTGGCATCAAGTGTATAGCCCAATAATTCGGCAGTTTGTTTGGCTTTAATAATCAGATTTATGAAGAAAAACTTCATAAACCTGCATACTTGCATACTTTGTACTTGTTTGTATCTTTGTCCAATTTAATTAGCTTATTATTTAAAGTTATCTATGTATTTATGTTACTTGATTTATAAAATTGTAATATTATATTTAAGGAATTGACACAATCTAATTATTGTACTTCATTTTTCAATTATTGTTGTTATGAATTTTCTGATGGTTTAGGTGTTTTATATGTTGATTTAGTGAACGTCTCTTCAATCCGAAAAAAATCTTTCCAGTAGACTACTACCTTCAATCCCTACCTCACAGCCAATTCAGGTTATAAACTCCTTTTATTGTTTTTTACAGATGCATTTTGAGCTAGATTAATTTACTAGCTCCTCCTCAGTGCTTAAGAGTTCTGTGAGTTTCATATAATCTAATTTTCATACTTATATGGTACTTTTAGTCCTGTTTACAATATTTTCACCATCTTATAAAATTACTCAAAGGGTATCGTGTATTGTAAAATGGCACTGGTTGCTACTGATTTATTTCTAACTAGCTTACCCGTCGCGCGTTGCTGTGATCTCAGAAGAAACGAAATTCAAGCAAACTCGTTATAATAAAATTCAATTTACATTTTATCATTTTTATTGAAACTTATTATTATTATTATTATTCATTTTCATTGGGAAAACATTTCAAAGTGTCGTTTCACTTCTATTTATTTATTGGAGTGCTTGTGGATACACGATATTTTTTGTTTTTCCGTCTGGTGCGTACACGAATAAATCAGAAGGTTTTCCGACGCGTGAGCTGGCCACATACAGTTGTCCATGCGAGAAGCACG